GGCCGTGCCCTCGGAGAACGGTGGTCATGCTGGAAAGTGCACGTGGCGCCTCAGTGCATGCACCGACGTCGGTAGGTAGATAGGTAGGTAGGTAGGTAGGTAGGTAGGTAGGTAGGTAGGTAGGTGGGTAGGTATACATATACATATACCGGTACAAACGAAACATACATCTGTACGTATGTCTCTATGTCTACATTATCTACATGTGCATACAGACACACACGCATATGTATATATATATATATGTATATGTATATGTATGTATATGTATGTATATGTATATGTATATGTTTATGTTTATGTTTACGTTCATGTTTATGTTTATGTTTACGTTTATGTTTATGTTTATGTAATTGTATATTATTTATATTTGTATTTGTCTGGGTAAATCTACAAAAGTCACCAATCAATCCCTCTATTTGTTTTCTCTCTCTCCGTGTGTCCGTGTATGTGTGTGTGTGTGTGCTTGCAAGCATTGCATCCATCAGCAACACCGTTATCGCCGCCACCACGGACAGCCGTCATCATCGCCATCATCGTCATCCTCATCGCTATCATCCTCGTCGTCCCCTTCCTCCTGATCATCATGATTGTCACCATCACGAATAATCAAAACCATCACGATCGCCATCCTCATTCCCCTCCCCATCCATCCCCATCCCCACCGCCAGCTCCCACACGCGTCCTCCTCACCGTCCGTTTCGTGGTGGTCCAGGTTCTCGTCGACATCACCAACATCACATCATTATGCTCAGCTTCAACCTCAGCCTCCTCGTCATAGTTTCCATCGTCATCACTACCCACCCCTGCGTCCTCATCATCACCGCCACGATGATCAGCATCCGTATCATCGCATGATTGAGTCAATGCGCTCATTATAATCAGCTGCGACATCTCCATGGCTGTGGCTGTCGGCCTAGTCGTTGCAGTGCCATGTGTAGCAGTGTAGCAGAAGCAGCAGCAGTTGTCTCGATTTTGGCTGCAGTGGCAGTTGTTTCGGGCGTGAATAGCTGCAGCAATGATGCTCGTTTATTATGTTGTCCACTAGGAAGGCGCTATGAAAGATCATGATGTTGGTGACGCGGTTGATGAAGATCTGAGAATGAGCACGATGCTTCTGCCACGCAAAGAGAGGAGAAGTAGACATAAATGGTGTTGGTGGTGGTGGCAGTAGAAGTAGCAGCAGAAGCAGCAGCAGAAGTAGTAGTATCTGTAGCCGTAGTAGTCGTCGTAGTAGTGGTAGCAGTATTAGTAGTATGAGTAGTAGTAGTAGT